TTGTATGAATACATTTCAGTCAACCTGGAAGTGCCTTCTACTGCTAGATACTTTCTGACTAGTTACTACAAAATATTCTGTGTATTTGTGGGGCTATGCAATGATTCAGGCTGAAACAGCTTTATGCCTTTCTCTTGTAACCCAATGCTGGCAACTTCATTGAGGGTATTAAGACCCAAATCCAATCTCAAGTCAGGTCAGTTAGTCCTTCTGTTCACTTTTGCAGCCAGCTTTTAGTTATAATCTACTAGTTTTGTTCTTTTTCTGCTGCTTCTATTTTGGTATAAAGATTGAAACATTTAGAAACTGGCTTTGTTTGGCTTATCCCAGGCACCTTATGCCTATGTCTAAGCACTGTTTTGAATCGGGCTGTCTTTTAAGCTGGGCCCTTTGCAAAGTACAAAAGATGTTTGATTTTGTTGGGGTTTTTTAGATTAGTGGTGATATTTGTTGGATTCTTTTTTTTAATTACTACTGGTTTTTGCTTCTGGGGCCATGTTGAATGGTGGCGGGTGAGTTCTCATTGGGAAGTGAATTATGGAGAGGTAGGCCTTTATTCAGTAAACAGTAAGTTTTGCCAGTTTGACCGAATAACTTGAGAATTACACTTTGTAGAGGAAGAATTCAATCAACAGTGGTGGCAGCCTCTTCCACCTTCTGGGTAACTGGGAGGAGCTCATTTCCTCTGCTGCACTTGAACTTTCATTGCTGTTAATTCACTGTGTGTTGGGTGATTGGTCACCTGGATGTGGGGGAGCTTTTGCCCCCAGGCTTCGTGGCTTGCACTGTGCACCCCCACCCAGCTCCCAGGAGGCCCGTCTTTCCGGGGAAATAGTCCCTTCAGGATGCATCTCAAAAGAGTTCATGAGGTTTCTTTCATGCAAAGAGCAGATAATTTACAAGAGTACTTCCAGTGTGCAGAAATGCATCTGAGAATGGTTGCAAATGTAAGACTTTTATGGATGTAATTAGCCTATTTTATGTTTTTATTTGAGCTGTAGCCAGAGAAATGGCAGTTGCCTGTGACTTCTGTGCAAGCTGAGGGTGCTCAATGAGGATGCTCAAATTTTTCATCATTTCACCTGTTGCTTCAGTGTAGAACCCTACCCTTTACCTTGGGCTGACCGCAACAAGAGCAGATCAGCCGATGTGAACATCTGGACAAGGCTGCCTCCCTGTTTACACACTGCACTAATGTGAACTTCTGTTAGGTTTTTATTCTTCTCTGGCTGCTTAGCTCGAGTTTGAGATTAATGACTTAGAGCATTAAGGGTGGTTAAATGACTGACAAATGCCATATTCTGTCTAACATTAAATTACTTAATTACAATGGTGTGTCTGTAATGGCAATTGCTAGAAAGTAAATACAAGCTCACAATACCACAGTGATGCGGTCTTTGAGACTGTTGCTTCTAGTAACACTAGTAGATAAAACCCTACCTACTTAGGGTAATATCCGTAACTTGAATTTTAGAGTTATTTCTAAGCCAAAATAATATTCTTTGGGCTTTTTTGATACAAAAAAATCCCACTTGGATTCTAAAACTGTTGCTTTTTAAATTTATTGAATGTGCTGTCAGTCATGGAGACATTAATTTATAATCTAATATCCCTTGGTTTTACTTTGGACTTCCTCGGCTATGTTCACCTACCTGTTATCCAATATGCAGACTGAGGAAAGATGTCTTGCAATCCATGAATTTTTCTGTAATGCAACTTCAGGATGGCAAACAGGTGGATACAGGCAGAGGAGGGAGTACAGGGAAGCAGAGATGATGCTGAGCAGCACAGTAAGCTGTGGTCTCAGCAGGTCAGCTGTGGCTTCAGATGGTCCCAACATGTGCATCTCTTGCAGCCGCCAGAGAGACATTTCCAAAGCACTAATGGGGAACGTCATAGAATATGCAGAGAATCATTTGCCACTGGATACAGTCAGGGACAGTGCAGCCATCGAGCCTTGCTTTCCTCCCGACTGGCCTGAAGTCAGGCAGAGTTAACAATGCAACAGCGTAGATGTTTGGCTCAGACTCTTCCTCAGGCCTGGCTTTTCTAGCGGTTCTGCCCTTCGGTGCTCAACACAGAGCCTGTGTTGCCCCATCTCTCCGGGGAGGGGGGTTCCTGAGTCACCTATCTTTGGTGGGCCACATGCCCTGGGGAGTCACAGGCCTTGCTGAGCATCATAACCAACTGGATCCAAACTGACTGGTGGGACAGAAGCAGGGGACAGGGTGGAGAAAATATTAGGTCTCCTGGGTAAATTACTGCCAGCCCATGGTAGCACAAGAAAATGCTGTACAGTTACCAGAGTATGACATGTTCATTGAGTGCCACTTAATAGAAGCAGAACCAGGAGCAGGAAGATTTATAGCAGCTGTTTTCTTGGGAGCCAGATGCCTTTTCAACCCTGTTCAACAGGGTTGAACTTGGGAGCAGAGCTCTGAAAAGAGCTTGTTAAGGAAAGCAAGAGCAGCTAAATGATTTTGTCTTCTGCTGGCTTCCTCTCTATCAGCTGCAGCAGTGGAAAGCGCCGTCAGTGTGAAGGGACAGAGGCAGTTGCTTTGCACTTTACACCAGTATTGGTGGCTTTGTGGGTGCAAGGTAGGAACAAGGTGGACCATGGACTTGGGTCATATCGTTCAGTCTGGCTTGCAGGGTTGCATCAACCAGACAAGACCGATTTTTATGTTTTGGAGGGTGCAGAGTTGCTAAATACCTGCCAGGAGTCCTAGTGTAGGACTGTGCTCTTCTCACCCTCCTTGTAAAACGACTGAAAGTACTGCCTGGTCCTTTTGGGACAAGAAGTAGGGGAAGGTGCTTCCCATGCTGCTAATCCATATGAGACCTCAAATTTGCTGGCCTTACTCTGTACTTTCACAGTAACCAATAGGACTGAACAAATCCAGCAGGATCATTCCCACATCTCCTCCATAAGTGCTTTACCTTAAATCAAGGGTCTAGCTGATGTGTATATCCTGTCTGATTACCTTAAGGTTACTAATAAGATCAGTTGTTGCTTACAGAGTGGCATATTCATTATGGCTTGGCTGTCCTGCATATCTTGTGTCATTGTATCATATGCTGCAACAGGCAACTGCAAAAGCCACTCATTTACAGGCAGTTTGGACCCCTCTCATCTAAAACTTGGTAGGATAGTTTGGCAGCAGGCAGGATGGTAGGCCAGGAAGCTCCTCGTTTTTCTTGCAAGCGGGAGCAGGTCCTTTGCATGAAGCCAGCATCCAGGTACCCTGTCAGGGCACTTCTGTCTTGGTGTAATCTGTCCCTGCCTGCACTGGGTGACATGACATCCCCCTCACCCTGCCCCAGTCCTAGCTTGCACAACGCTGGTGTTAACCAAGTACGTTAGGGTTCGTCTCAGACCCCTCAACAGTCCCCTGCATTTTGGGACATGCAGTGATCCCCTTGTACAAGCTGCTCTTCCAGTCCGAGCTGCTGGTTTTGTTTAGCTGGTGACAGTTCCCAGTCATGGTGGCTAATGAATGGGAAATGTTTTGGCCTTTTCACGATGCGTACTTCAAATTTTTGCGCTGTGCTTGACTTAGATAATGAGGCTCATCTGTGTAGTTGCTAGACCAGGCAGTAACTTAGGAGTTAATTTGGAAATTTGCATTTTAAAAATGACATGCAAGGTCCAAAAATCCATCCCAAGGCACAGGGACAGAACTAGACATCAGAGGGATGCAAGCAGCCAGGAGGACAGCATGGGGAAGGAATGCTGGCTAAGAAGTGGGCTCTCCCTAGGACAGGGGTGGAATCATTTCACCTGACTTTAGCATCTGCAACGTTGATGTTTATAGTACTGCAGGGTAGGCCATTGCAGCTCATGGAGAGAAATAGTGCTTTTTGGTACCGTTCATGTCATCTTGTGATCTGGATGTTTAAGACAGGTCTGATGGAAATCATGATCTAGATTTTTTTTTTGTCTCCTCCATTAACTACCAAGATCTAGACGGCAAGCTCCTGTATCAATACAAAGTCAGAAGACATAAGTGTCACCCTGGTGCTGGGCTTTTTAGTAATTTTTGTTGGGAATTGAAGTAAATGAGAATTTCAAGGAAAGATTTGAGAGCAGTGAGGTAGTTCAACAGATATTCCTCCAACAGATGGGGACAAATTTGCCAAAATGTACAAACATGCTACTTGGTTAATTTGAGGGGCTGATAAGGGGGTTTTGACATGGGAATATGCTGTAAAGGCTGGAGATAAAGAAAAGTTAGTCTGCAGTTTGAGAGCTGTGCTACAAACAACTATAAGAACAATAAATGGTCTTGTCTGCTGCACAACTTTCTGTAGCTGTTGGATATTCTCCCTCTTCAGAATTGGGTTGGTTTTTTTTTTCATTTTCACCCACCAGGAGAGTCTGGCACACCTCTGCACATTTCATTGTGTTGTTTAGAAGAGCTTTTAATGTCATGGTGCTTTAAGTTCTACAGTGGCCATTGTTCAGGCCTTTTCCTCTCCTGTCAGCATCCATTGGCCCAAGGTGTTGGACCTGTGGTTTGGGCAAATTCTGCCTCTGTTGGCGGAGTGGTACCTTGCTGATTAGGGTGGGCCTGTTGGTTGCTGAAGATGACACTGACCGTAATTCACAGCAGGAAAATCAGACCATAGATACCCATTTTAGTTTATCTGCGGCACATTACAGTACAAACTCCCACTTAGACAAATGTCCAAGAACTGACTGAAGGGCTCACTGGCAGATGATTGAGGCTACAAAAATTCACTCTGCTCATATAGTTTCATTAAAGAATTCACCAAGACCTTCCTGCAGCTGTAGAGCAGAGGCCTGCTGAA